TTTAGGAGAGGACAAATCTTGTAGTTCTTCTTCTTTTTTTTTTTTTTTTTGTTCTTCTCCAGATCATCTCTGACTTCATAGTTTTTAATAACATAAAGTTTAGCAGTCAAGTTACTGCTTTATATTATATAGTCTCATTTAATTATGTTTGCCATTTGTTTTGTAGTTTGGAGTAAATGTACTTATGATTTTTATTTCAAAATTGTGGGTTGCAGAATCAATTTAATGTTTTGTGACAAGCAAGAACAAAAATAAAGAAATGGAACAAAATAGAAAACATTAGAATGAATTACATGCACATAATAAGGGCAATATTATTTTGTATACTTTTGTTTCTTTTCATATACAGTGAAATACATGGAAATACTCAACCATTCTTTAGATTTAACTCAATCTTTTAGACTGTAGTATACCTATTTATTTATTTATTAAATCACTGCTGTGTACATTAATGCTATGCCTATTCATTTTTAACCTCACCTTTGAGTCCTCAATTGGGGCATCTAGACAAGCACAGTTTTCAAAGAGTGCAAACGCTATTTTTCTCTGAACCTTATCTACCTCAAAATGATTTAATTTTAATAATGAAAGCATAACTATATATAAAATGATCTTATCACAGTGTTTTCAGGGGGAAAACACTGTGCTCTTTTTTTTTTTTTTTTTGAGACAAAGTCTTACTATGTTGCCGTAGGTAGAGTGGTGTGGTGTCACAGCTCACAGCAACCTCAAACTCTTGGGCTTAAGCAATTCTCTTGCCTCAGCCTCCCAAGTAGCTGGGACTATAGGTACCTGAGACAGTGCCCCGCTATTTTTTTTGTTGTTGTTGTAGTTATCATTGTTGTTTAGCAGACTCAGGCGGGGTTTGAACCCACCAGCCCCAGTGTACGTGGCCGGCGCTCTAATCACTGAGCTGCAGGGGCCAAGCGAACACTGTACTCTTTAATCCTTTGTCTTCTAATATTTTGTATAGTGGAGAACTCTAAGATCATTCTGATTTTTATGGTAACTGTATGTGCTTGCATGAATGTGTGTGTGTGTGTGTACATGTGTGAATGTGTGTTTGTGTATGTGTTCACACACTGTAGATCCCCCACCCTCTCACTTTCTATACATTTTTAATTGCAGTGCTTTGCCAACAAGTATCTAGGAGTGAGTCTCTTTACTTTCCATCTTCCTGTTCTTTCAATTTATATATTCATGCTTTTAATTTAAATTACATTTGTAATTACTGTGATGTGTTCAGTGCTACATTCAAAGCAGTCCTGATTATCTTCCCATCTTTTCCTTTTGCTCTCCAATATCATTAATTGTAAATTAGCATTAACAGGCTGAGTTAAAGTTGTTCGTGGCTCCTGTCTTATGAAGTAACTACTGGGAAGACTGACTGTTGTTCCCAAATGAATCTTACTAACAAGTTAGTTAAGCTACATCATAAGAGATCAGGTTCTGGAAAGAGCCCGGGTCCTAATCTTGAAGTAAAAATGTTTTACAGTTTTACTTTTTATGTTATGTTTAACAAACTTTTATTTACCCCTAAATTCATGAAGACTTTCTCTTACATTTTCTTCCAGAACTTCTATTGCTTTACCTTTACTGTTTAGGTCCATGTTCCCTTTTGAATTACTTTTTATGTATAGTGAGATGCAGAGATCTGGTTCATTTTTCCCCATACAGAGGTCCAGTGGATACAGCACCACTTATTTCAAAGACTATTCTTTCCTCCAATGAATTACAGTAGTGCCTTTTATTTATTTATGCCTTTTTTGAAATTTGGTGATTGTTTATGCAAGAGTTTGTTCCTTAACTCTGTTCTACTGGTCTATTTTTTCTATCCATGCATCATTATCTTAATTACTGTATCTTTCTCGTAAAGTTTGGTATTTGTTGTTCTTATTTGGCATTTTTTTTTTTTTTTTTACTTTTTAAGGATCTCTACATTTCCATACAGATTTTAGAATTAGTCAATTTCCACAAATGCATCCACTGGAATATTATTTGGGATTGCATCAGATCTATGGATGAATTTGGAAAGAGCCGAAATTTTAATACTACTAAGTCATATCATTTAAAAAAAAAAAGAGTTCACAGTGGGATTTTCACACTCTCTTTCTGTCCTGTTCTCTCTTCTTGGCAGAGGCTCATCAGAGGTTCATCTTTCTCTCACTGCTCTCCGCTCCTTGTGTGCCTGCATACTCTTTCTTGATGGACGTTACTTCAGGAGTTTTGCACAAACTGTCCCCTTGAAGGCGTCTGTCTGGAAGGCTCTGCTCTCAGATCCTTTCATAGTGGGCTTCTAGTCATTAAGATTTGCTTAAATGTCACTTCCTCATAGCAGCCTCCTCTGACCTCCTTGTCATACCCTTTTATATCATTCTATTGGGTTTTCCTCTAGAACTCATCTATGTCTTATATTTTTTTGCTGTTGAAAGTTTACTATCTCTCCCTAGATAAAGGGAGGAGCCTTATCTACTTCATTGCTGAAACCCTGAACTCTTAACACTTCCTGAATGAATGCTCCCTGAATTAATGAGCAGTTCAAAAAATAATGTTATTTTGGCTAAATATTTAAAATTATGTGCACATATACATTTTTTAGCTTTACAATCTTTATTTCAAGATATAATCCCCAGAGTTTATGTGTTATCTTGGACAGAATACATTTGCTTCCTGCAATTATTTTTAAATATTAATGTTTTGTTTTTTATGTAGGATTAATACCAGGACCACTTATATGAATGGTATCTATGTATGCTCATTGCAAAATTACATTTGTAACTATTCTGAAAAAGTCATTGAACATCATCCCATATCTATTATTCCATGATGTTGATAAAAAATTCCAAAAAAAATTTCTGAACTTAAAAATGGGTTTTGCCAAATGTTCATCATATCCTTTATATTATATATATGCATGTGTGTCTAAACATATCTTGTGTTGAAGAACTTTAAGGCTAACCAATTCATAATCATAATAATCAGGTCCTCTCAGTTGCTCAAAATTATCTGAGCATTCTTCTTTTAGGCCCATAAATATTTATACTGAATCTTTTTCAGAATCAATGAATATAAATGACCATACACATATGCAAAAAATACATGTGATTTAAGTTAATGGACTCCACCATGTTTATTCTCTAACCATTCATAGTTTCCGTTTTAGATAATTTTGTTATTTTATCTTCAAGTGTTTCATTTTTAATCTGTCTGTAAGTCTTTAAGAAAGAGCAAAAGTATTGTATTTGAATTCAAGTAAGGAATTTCACCTTTTCACTATTCTCTTTTGTGATAGACATTATATAAACTTGTTAACAAGGAAGACTGAGAACATCAGATAACATATTTTTCAATATTTATTCATTTTCATAATCAGGATTACTTACAAAGTTATCATCCCAGGGAGAGACAATATAAGGGGGAAACCACTAAAAGGTTTCCTTAATGTGTCACAGTTTTTGTTCAAATATTGAAAGTTTCCATATTCGCTTTTTGAGTTTGGAGCAAATAATGTGCCATATTTTTTCTCAAAGTAGCCAGAAAGTTGGAAATTTGGTGGCACAGTGACAAATAAATCTTATTTTGGACACTGACTAGTGAGAGTTCTTCCAAAACCAGTATGAAAGATTTTATTATGAGCATGATAGACATCCTTGATACAGGTCCAAGTCTGCCCTGCTTTAAGACTGACAAATTTGATGACCTGAACTTTGGCTAAAAGCACATTACATGGTAGATTTTCTCAACTTGACAGAATGTGAAATAGTATACTCAATTATGCTTTCATGTATGTCATCTATAAGGCTCAGATAGATTTAATAGATGGCATTTATCTAGCATTATTTTATGCATTTTTAAGTACTAAATGCTGAAAGAAAATACATTTCTATGTTAATAAAATAGTGCAATCAAAACCTTTATTTATTTTTCTCATTAGACTGAAATAATAAACCAAATGAGCAAGAAAATGCAATAAAAGATTTAGCATGAAACATTACTTTACATAAGATAATGCCAAGAATATCATGAACATATGCACATTGCTTGTAACTGAATTGTGGAAAATCACTGTGTTTACCTTTGAAAAGCAGAGGTACTCAGAGCCTTCGAGCTTCACTTTAGAACCTGAGGCTGGGAGCTGTTGGTCCCACACAGATCATCTTCTGGATTTGTAATGAAAGAAAATGGAAGACTCTCTCTGGAAGGAAAACTCAGGTCACTTCTCTTTCAGCCGTATCTAGTCCAAGTGTACATGGAACACATCAATAGTTCTGCCTGTCTTTCTTGGCCAGAGTAGAAAACAGGTTCTAAATAAAATAATCTGCATTATCATAAAGCTAAAAACAATAATGGAATATTTAAAAATATAATTCACTTTAGTGAAAACTGAACCCATTAATCTTCTTTAGTCAGGGATCTGCAGTCATCGTTTGCATATTATATTTAGCTAACAACCAGAATTTAGTTATTAATTAGGAAATATTAAAATATGACTAGCAGCAAATAACAGGATGGCAAAACTACGAAAATTCATAAAGGTAAAAGGAAGCAGCCTTTTTTTTGCCACAGTAAGAAGTGTTCTTCCATAAATTGAGGGAGTCACGGTGACTGCCACGCCTTCCCCACATTCACCTCCAAGGCAAATTTTTGAGACTCAATGTTCATTTTTATCAATAGTAATAATGGCAATAATGCAGGGACAGCTGCGAAGACCAGGGAGTGTGCACTTTTCATAATCAAAAGACCCTCAAACCTTAGCAAACATCATGTATAAAAGAACCTCACAATTCCAACATGGCACAGACACAGCAAAATCAATCCATTTATCAGAGACTGATACAATATGCATTTTCCAGAAGGAAGCAGAGGACAGCAGATACCATCTGGATCTGACAAACTGTGGAAATGAAACAATGCATGGCGAAATTTACACGATATTTGAGTTATAAATGAAAAACAAATGCTTCATCAAAAAAAGTTAGATTGGTGGCCCAACATATAGATATCCATAAGTATATATTTATATATATAATGATAAAAATCAGCTTGCATGAGGGTCATAGTACATTTACTTTGAAGTTATAGCACACATACTATAAGCAATTTACAGAATTTGTCATGATTGCATATACAGGAATTGCAAAATGAATTAAAATACACTGAAATATAGAACACTCATAATGTATGACTATAAACCTCCCAGGATTGACAGGGATTGGCCATAATCAGCACTTGCCACCAGCGAACAAGAACTGTAATCAAGAAAAAAGAAGAAAAATCCAAGAAAAAGGAGAAAATAAAAAAATTCTTTGTTATTCCTTATTTAAAATAATGTCTTCCTTGTTGACCTGCAGTGTTGATGCTTTTGTTCTTGCTACCAAAAGGGGGTTTTGTTTGATGATAGTTTATGTTCTGGAGCTTTTTGATCTCTGTTCACTGCCTGCAGATAATGGGTCCTTTGTGGGAAATCAGTGGTATCCACAGTAAGTATTTACTATACCGATGACGTCCAGGCCAACCCCTGAGCAGTCGATGAGATGATAGTTTTAGTCGCCAATGAAAGGAAAGGAAAAAAAAAAATAGAGCTTGCTGTTAGAAAGTGTCCTATCACTGCACGCTAATTCTCTTGAAATAAAAGACCAGTGATTTGCCAAAGAAAATATTATCAACAAAGCGTTTGATAGCCTCTTCTTGTATGCGTCCAGAAGCAGGCGCTCCTATGTAGGTAATTAGAGTACAGTGGGTGCAGGGTGGTGCTTGGAGTTTAGGGTCAACTTTGCTGTCCGCTCCGTAGATTTTACAGGCCATTTGCTCTTTGCTTTAAGAAGAGAAAGTGATATTGGAAAAAAGTCAGCACTTTAGATTAAAGCAAAGCACCCTTCACAAAGCCACAAACAAGAAGCAGGACAGAAAGTCCATGGCTTGTAGCTATCCTCGCACCTGCGGAAGAAGTTATAAGATATTCGCTCATCTTGAAGATTTCCAATGCTCCTTATTAGGCTGTTTTAAACACATACATATATATATTTAATTAGCTCGCCAGCTTTGCTCTGATGCTCATGAATGTCTTGGCATGCACTGCAAATAACAACACATACAAAGGATTTCAGTCCCAGGAAGGTTTTGTCTGTTTTCAAACAATGCCATCCCATGGCTGGGAACACTGAGAGAACAAATCCAAATACTTAGCCTCAAGTGATTCCTTGAGGATCATTGCCTATCTCATTTGGTGTTCCCGTACTGGTACGTAAAAACACACCCCCTGTTTTACTGCTGTATAAGCATAAAATCACAGGAGCTTAAACAAACAAACAACCCCCCCCACAAAAAACTGAGAGTAGCAGGCTTCTCAAAAATAGGAAAAATGTGCTGTAGGTGGATGCATTTGGACATTTACTTTTAAAGTGAGCTCTTTCTTGAAGTACTATCTTGGGTAGATTTAAAAAAAAAGTAAGACCTTTCTTATTGTTTTATCCTTGAATCTAGAAAAAGTTGGTGCTATATGTTAACCAGTTTGATGAAAACATTTCAAACTATATATAAAACCAGCACATTGTACTCCATGATTGCATTAATGTACACAGCTATGACTTAATAAAAAAAAAAGAATTGGAAATTCTTGAAAGAGCACCAACATTTTCTCAGGGAAGAAATTAAATTGTATCTTTGCATTATTTTCTTCATATGTTTTATGCAGTAAGCTTCTGGCTACAGATGACATAGTAAACACTTTTATATTAGTAAAAAATAAAAATTGTGATGAGGCTCAAAGCACCTTCTTTTTTGTTAATTGGAGAAAGGCTAAAAGAGTTTGGAGGGGCTGAGTGGGGACATTCTATGTTTCGGATATTTCAGCTATGTCATGTTCAGGCCCACATTAGCAAAGATAAAAATCATGTCTGAACCCCTTGTTCTCAAAAAGCCAGTGTACATATAGCACAAATATTCAGGGCTTCTATTAGTAGACACATATTGCTATTTTTCTCTTAGGTCACTTTAATGTTGTCACTGATTTGCCTTCTGAGTAAGTAGACAGTGTATGTACTATAACATCTCCTCATAGAAACCTAATCACTGCGGAGCAGAGGTTAGTGGTGGCTATCTGGAGAGTGTTCCTTTATTCAAGCAGGGTGACAAGTTTTAAAAAATACAAGAGTGATAGTTCAATCCATGTGTAGCTCTAAGTACAGAGGAGCAAGGAAAATATATACAATCTGTTTAGAACAACTAGCATCAGAGATTTCCAAAATTAAACATGTATTCTTATTATCTTTTGAAAAGAAAATCTTTGACAGGGATTCATTCGATGGGGGGAGGGAGAAAGAAAGAAAAAGAAATTATTAAATGGCTCCCTAAATAGACAGTGATGCCTGATTTGACACAAAATATGTCTGGTATTGGATAAACTTTTAGTAATGCTCAAAGCAATAAAACTTCGTAAAATGATTTGCTCTCTAAAATGTATTTTGTGAAATAATGGTTTTCTTTTCAGCATGGGCATTGCAGATTAGCTCAGATTTGCTGCAACTGTGCCATGTCTTAAATGGCTCCTTCCCAGTTAGACAGTTCCTTCATGGGAAACACCTGACCGATCTTCATTCCTGTAAGATGTTAACGGAGTAACCGCTGCTTTTGATGCTAGGAATGTTTCCTATCATAATATTCCAGCATGTGCAAGTTAAAGCATAATTTACATGGGTACTATAACTAAAAAGATACCCAATAATAGTTCAAAAGACACTTTGAAGCTACTCAAATTTTGAACTGCCATCAGATATGCCATATGCTGTTGCAACACAGTACAATTTCCCTTCAGATTATAATCATCCATTCACTCTAGGTGTGTGTATTCACAAGCATATTTTTAATTAAATGGAAGCTATTTCTATTTGGACAATTATAATTTGTATTCTATATATTAAGTTCTGAAGCACATCTATGTTGCCATCAGGTCATTGATTTTCTCTTTCTGTTTTTTATTGATGTCATGAATGAAGAAAGATTCAGTCTTTCATCTCTGACACTCCATAGACTTTTATACAGTGAAATCTGAGAATCTAAAATGCTGTAATTTGTCCTGTGTAATTTTAATGAATAATCTTCTAGCCATTCCCATTCTGATGTATACTACTTTCACAATATCATTATCAAACCTGCTATGATTTATTCTATTGACAAATTAAGAAAAAAATCTTTCTTGTGACAAACTTTGGCCCCTCATCATACTCTGTGTTGGTTTTCACACATAGAAACAATTTACTTTTGTGTCACACACAGAGTTAGGATTGCTGTCAGGATTCCCTGAGTTCTAATTTCCTTGTCTGCCTTTCACTTCTGAGATTCAGAAAAGACACTTATTACTTCTCTCTTCTAAAACGAGCATCATAACTGCTCATGTATGTGAATTACCGTTTTTTCCCATATTAGTATTCCAGGGATGGTGTTGTAATAGGATTGCCTGCTTTGTTTTATCTGCTTTCTTTTGCTCTATGTTGAGACCAAGCAGGACAAACTGTCATCCCCTAACAGAACTCTCTCCTGTCCTGGGATACCTGCTGTCTGTCCATCTGCTCCCACTGCTTGGTGGTCAGCTCCCTTGCTCTCAACTTCAGCAGCACTTTCTTTTTGCTTCTACACGGCCTTTCCTGGCCTGCCTTGCCCCACATTCGCTATATTCACATTCCATCTCGCTGATTACCCTCTTCACTCATTGAGAGCAAGGACTGACATTTTTAACTGACATTTTGAACTGCCATCAGATATGCCATATGCTGTTGCAACTTTTTTTTTTTTAAGTACTTTCAGTGTCAAAAACAAGGCCTTGAGACTTTTAAAACGTTGGCCCCAACATAAAAAGCCCCGTGAAGAAGAAAGCGAGAGGCTATTGTCTACATTATGTTTAGAAAATGTACAGGCCGTGCGCCTACTAGGGCGGGCGCTTTCTCTCAGATTCCAGGGGCGGTTTGGAGACGTCTGCCACTTGCACGCTGATGCCTTTAATTGGATTTTATGCTTAAAGCTTTTCCTAATGCTCTGTCTAGTGTAGTTCCCCACGTCTTGGTGGCAGAGGAGGCATATTCTCCATTTTGTAAATGGTAGACTCTAAGAAGTCTTCCCTGAAGTCTACACAGCACGCGAATGGACCTTCCACGTCTCAACTCCCTGTCCCGGCAATGGCCAGTGTCGCCGGCGGGACATGACAAGCCAGTGTTTCTCAAGAGAGTGTGACATATGAAAGTCTGACCAAAGAGAAGATATTATCTTCACTATCGTTATTATTTCAGAATATAACAGAAATACCATGATTTTTTTTTTAAAGTAAGATTAAAAACAATCAAAGCACTGTCGTCCAGAAACTGTCGTCCAGAGACTGTCCTCGGCAGTCTCAGCAATCAGGTGAGAAGCTCCAGGCTTGGGGTAGCACCTGCGGCAGCATCTGCGGGGCTATTTCTGCCTGAGCGCAGGATCAGCCTGTGGGAAGTGGCCATGCGTCCCTGGCAACGCGACAGCCGTCCCGCCCACCCTAGTCCCCTTGCGGCTGCGGCTGCGCAGTGAGGGGCCAGGCCGCTCGCGGAAGGCCGGTGCGCAGGGTCTTAGAGACTCCGCACAACCTGCACCTCCAACGTGTAGATTAGGAAGATGTAACACCCACTCGAAACGACTCCTAGATTACACGGGTAATGCGGTAAAGCGAGGCCACGGAAATGAAGAAACAGCAGTACAGTCGCCACAGAGCACAGACCTGGGGCTTTCTGAAATTCCCCCATGTGTTAAATCAGAATGTGAGATATCTGCTTATCTTTCCAGAGAAAATGCACCAGATATAACGTATTTCAGTGAAAAGAGCAAAACTAGTTTGATATAAAACTTAACTTTTCCTCAACTCTGAATCGATAAATATTGAATATAAAAACATTGTCAGTCTCTTGGTTTTCCTAAACATTAATAAGTTTGCTCACTTGTCTTATGATGTAACAATATTTTGAACTTTTCATATTATAAACTTTTAGAGTTTAAAGATTCCTCTGAACTCTAGACGTGACTCCACTCCACCGTTCTGTAGACATCTCTCTCTTTTTGTCAATACTACCCTTTCCAACCTTTTTGATTCCGATTTGAGGGTGAGAGACCCAGAAGGCTTAAGCTGATTGGTCAAAGTTCCATCTTTAGTAGGTAACAGGGAGGGAGTGAAATTAGAGCTCTTGGCTATGAGGAAAGGTCACCCAAAGAGGAGGTGCCGCTATTTACTTCAAAGTACTAAGTGGAGAGTTGAGAAAACTACCTAATTTCTCCAACATAAATTTTACCAGTTCTTCAAATATTCACCTTCTCTTGGTTTTGAGTAATTTCTTATGGATTAGTTTCCTATGTGAATTCAACTTTTAGTGGGTTCAAATACAGGTACAAGCAGCACTCAGCCTCATAGAGATAATCTTGACTCTTGGTGGGCTTTTTCTCTTTGTCTTCTTGTTTGAGTTTCTAGTGGAAAGGAGCAAGAAGAAAGAAAGAAAACAATTTCTTTCCCACTGTGGCTCTCTGATGAAAGATTTCATAATTTTTACATGGTTAAAGTGAATGGTAGTGAGGCTCAGTGCAAGAACAAAACTAAAACTGGATATTCTCTAACTGTAAAAGTTGCAAGAGTCAGGTAACTCTTTGCCTGTGAAGAAGTCTAGTTTATTAAGAATTGAGTGTCCATTACAGCTCTTCAACCAGACATCCACATAACTCTCTTTTATTACAGATGCCTGCTTTCAGAGCTGAAAATCACTGTATGGGAAAATCTCAGCTAGCTTTTAATGCAATTTTATTCAAGTTTGCACATACTAAATCACTATTTAAAGGAAAAGCCAGATAATAGAACGATTTTATCCTATAATTTTTTGAGACCAATATCTTTTCATTATAATTCTTATAGGTCCAGTGCCAATTTCTTCCAG